GATTTCGCCTTCCCTCATCACCGTCCGAAGTTCATCGCACGGTCACGATTGTCCGGTAGTGTTTCATTTTCTTTTCTTTTTTTCTACAAATCAGAATGATCTGAAATTTGGAACATATGCTCATCAAAAATAGGTGAATCTACGAAAAATATCAAAAAAATATTTTACATGAACTAAATTTATCAAAATACCCCCAAAAAGTTTCAAGGGTATTTTGGTTAATTTTATTTTGACGAATTATTTTTTTTATATTTTTATTAGGTATGCCTCACTAGGATGTATACATGCTCCAAATTTTTAAATCATTCTGATGTGTAAAAAAAATGGAAAACAAAACATTACCGAAAAATATTGACTATAAGATGAACTTTTGACGGTGATGAGAATATGTAAAATCACTGTTCATTTTCGCCTATAAGCGTAGGGAAAACTTTTTTCTATATATATATATATATATGGAAAAAGCTAAGATTAACGCACTAGTTCATATAAATATATGCACCTAACGACCCAGATTGAATTTAAGCTGCTCTGACTGTCACGACCTCATTTCATGTTTGAATTTTAATTTTTTTTCTACAAATTCAAATCACTTGAAATTCTAAATATGTTCTTCTCATCAAGCCACACCTAATAAAAATATAAAAAAAAATTATTCGCTAAAATAAAAATGACCAAAATACCTCTAAAACTTTTTGGGGGTATTTTGGTCAATTTATTTAATGCAAAATATTGTTTTTGATATTTTTCGAAAATTCAACTATTTTTATAAACACACTCCTAAAATTTCAAGTGAATTAGATTTGTAAGAAAAAAAATTAAAATTCAAATACTACCAAACATCCGTGATCGTCAGATCAACCCAGATTCAATATGGGCCGTTGAGCTCATATGTTTACATGAGCTAGTGAGCTAATTCCACCTTTTTCCTATATATAGATATATACACGTGGCAGCTATTGTTCCTTAGTGAGAGGCGCACAATCATGCCAATTCTCAAATCCAATTTTTTAAAGAGGAAATTACCTTCAATGAGAATTTCAAATCCCAAAGAATTCAATGGCATTCAAACATGATCGATATCTCACTATTCTATGTATTTTATAAATAAAGAAAATGATAACACACTACCCTTGTTTTTTCTTGAAAACCGAAAAAAGTCATTTTTTTATAACAATTTTTAAAGATTCTTTGGAATTTTTTTAAAGCTCGATCCGACTGATCCAAACTAATAGTCCAGAAAAAAAAAAAATACTACTTAGATATGGATTTTGGATCGAAATTTTAAGAATCTATATTCTATACTACAGTGATGTTGAATATGAAAAAACAAATTTAATTAATTTTAAATTTTAAAAGTTTTTATATTATTTTTTTTCTTTTTGCATTTGTTTTAGAGTTTAGTAAGTTACCCTTTCTTAATGTCCATTTTAAAGATGGATATTGGATGCTAAAAGTACTGATGAGTCCTCTTAAGTCATAAAATAATTTCCTTTGAAGATTTACTTAATTTTTTTATATTCATGATCCCCATGATATACGGATCCTAAAAAATTTTGATCTGGATCTCTGTCTAAAATGGATTTTGAAGGGAGGATTCGTAGAGATAGATGAGTCAGCAACTCCCAAAACCGGATCCATTAATGATCTCATAGCTTCTTCTCCATCAATTCATACGAATGGATAGGCAAACCATGGACTGATGCTGTTTGCTATATTGTACACACCAATGGACGATTCTTCATCCCTTCATGTAATCAATAATGGAGTGAAACCAGAACCGGGTTAATGTCTATCGATCAGGGCACATCTCCGACGTTTGCTTCAGAAATCAGATGGTGAATGTCCAATCTTGATACCCCTAGGAACAAGATTGAATCTATGGTTTGCTTCCCCTCTAATCTGTGTGGGCACATACATATATCATCTAATCCATGATCTACTTCCCCTCTGAAAAACCTTTTGAAAGTAACAAACTCAATAAAATTATCAGTGTTCTGCTTTTGGCCCAACAATTGTTAGGCGAAAATGATGCCCTAGGATTGCATGCAAACGGTCCAAATGAATCGTATACTATTCTCTCACAAGAGTAAATGATCCATTTGTATCATCATCGTCGTCGTCAAAGCTTTTTTCCAACTAATTAGGATCGACTACACGAATCCTAATCCGTCATTCTGCTCTTTTAAAGATTATACCCCCAGTACGGGCATAAATCCCCATATCTATTCTCACTAAATGATCCATTCATATGAACTTCGTAAATCCAAAGTCGTAAAAACATACTTTGTAAACTCAATAATAATAGTGCTACTCAAGAAATCAGAAAGAGCAGTACTCAAGATTGACTAGAGAACTTAAACAGAAAATATTCATGATCACTAGGAAATCCATAGTCATGAAGATCATCGGGATCAATGGTTGGATGGAGATGAAGAGAGTAGGACCCATCATTTGGATGCATGTCCTACTAGGGTTCTAGTTGCCACACTCTCGATCACCATCCATCAGATTGATTGCAGATAACCTATGAGAGCACTTTCTAATCAACTCCCATACGTACTCTCATAATTCACCAGAAGCAAAATTACCCCAAAAATTCACAAATATTACACAGCATCAGTTCTTATGCATACAACAGATTTATATTACACCTTCAAAGAGTTAGTAAGACATCACCTTATAATTTTTTTTATGAATACATATCGCCTTATAATAACAATTTGATATAAAAAAGAAAGAATGAGATTACCTTGTGTTAAGATCAAGCTCACCAACCTCTCTCCATTCCCCTTGCACCGCATTCCCCCCTTCTCCATTCTCTTGATCATGATCATCATTTAAAAAATCTTCTGAGGGCTCTTCCTCCTCCTTTTGTGGGCCCTCCCAAGCCTCTGATGGCCCTGCCCCTTCGCCATTTGGCTGCTGCAGACCCCCCCTTTCCTCCCCTTTAACCATAAACGGCCCCACTACATGAGGTAGGCCCACCACCTCAGCAACACGAGCTTGCTCAACTTGAGCCATGGCCATCCTCATCTTCGCTTCCTTCTCTCTAGATTCGATCTCAGCCCTTAATTCAAGCAAGGCCCTCTTCTCTTCTTGTAAGAGGGCTTGCTCTATCATGATCCTTTCCTCCGTTCTAAACTCTCCTTGAGCCCTCTTCCTGCATATCATGTTGTAAGCCATCACTTGCTTCTCAAACGTAGCTACAAATTCTTGGATTTTGTTAGTGATGTTATGCTCCCACTGTTGGGCGCGTGTTAGGGTTTGGCCTGAGGGTTCAGACTCAAGTATCTTGTCCTCCTCCTCAGCCTCATAGTCAGCCACCACATGGTAAGGCAGCAACCTGCAAATTATGCTCAAAATTAGAACAGTAAAAAGCTGTTGTGGTTATGACTCTGTTTGTGTAAATTTGTTTATATAT